CACACACACAACCCACACAAAAGAGAACCATAATCAAGAAACTCTTTTCACACACCCTCCCTAGTCTCAGCACTGTGTCCATAGACAACCTCCCCCTCCTCAAAGAAAGAAATGGAAAGCCTCCAGCTGAGCCAGTAGTGGTCACAGGGGGTGTGGAAACCCCACTCATGGCCAGGCAATGTCTGTGCTGTGGCTTAAATGGGGCTGGGAGGGGACATGGGTGCTCCAGTCTGTCTGTGGGACCTGGCCATCTGAGGCTGGGTTCACAGGCCTCTGCCTCTTTGCCATTCCTGGACATGGTGTCCTGAGAAGGGACTAGACAGAACTTTCCCAAATCACTGGGGGGAAGGGGCTGCACTGTCCAGCAGGTTCCAGGAAGGCTGACAGCCCTGAGTGCTAACGTGAAAAGAGCCTTGGAGATGATGTCTACTGAGGGCTGGGGTTGAGTGAGGGTCTTCCACAAGTCAGAGAGTTTCTCCACTTGGGGACAAAGAGGCTGGAGAGAGGGGGAAGTGCTCACTTGACATCACATACTCACTGACCCTGAGTTCCAGCCAGTTCTGCTGGTTCCCAAGGCAGGCACACTGGGGATGAAATGAAGGCTGTAGTTACTAGAACTGACCTCAAAGATCCCTCACTCTGTGGGTCCACATACCACCAACATCCCTCTCATCACAGTAGAGTGCTGGGAGGCCATTCCTCATTCATCTACCCTTTCTCTAGATCATTCAACAGTCCTTTACTGAGCACATACCCCCTGCTAGAATGCGGCTGGGTATTTAGGTGCTTGGGTAAACCACCACATGCTCTTCCCACCCTGGAATAGCTGGTAGGCTGGGGTACAGAAGTGGGGATGTTCAGGTCCATGGGACATGGAGTTAGGGTGTCAGGAAGGGTTCTGGAATAGCCAAGGCCTAGCCTAGCCCACCTGCTCTCCTGGGCTGGTATCTGAGGGCTCAGATCTCTCCTGAATGATTTTATTAACTTCACAGGGAGTGTTTACTCTGCAGCCAGAAGACCTGAAGTGTGATTCATTTTAGGGCCAAGGACACAGGGTTCTAGGCAGTCTGTGAGCACACATTGTTACTGATTGACAGGCCTAGTTCTGGGGAACAAGCAGAAATAATTGACCAGACTGCTGGAGAGGGCCACACTAGGCCCTCCTCTGCCTCTCCAGGTGTCTGCACCTGCCTTCTTTACTCAACTGGGTCTCTGTCTTCCCAGCAGGAGGGAGCTGGTGTGTGCTCGTGAGTGTGTATAGTAGCTCTCTGATAAGAACAGCTACCCTGGGGAGTCAGAAGAAACCAGGGTACCTCCTACAGCTCCCCCACTTCCCCTTCAAAGTCATAACCCCTTGACTTTAAAGCTGAAATTTTAGAATTTTGTCTCCTGTTTTGTTTTCCCCAAAGCCAAGTCCAGAGACAAAGACCTTCCCAAGGTCACACAGCGGGCCCAGGACAAAGCTGCCAGGAAAACTGATTCCGCCTTCCAGAATGCAGCCTACTGAGTTGAAGCAGCTGTTCAGAGCCACAGGCTGCTGGCCCAACTGGGAACTTCCTCTTCTTCATGCTCCCTCCCACCCCACTCACCCGGGGATTCCGCTCAGTCACACAGAGAAGCCTTTTGGGGAAGCAGTAGGGATGTAAGAATTGCTCAAGAAGGGAACCAGGTTTAGAGATGGAGAGACAGACAATAGTTAGAGAAGCCACAGCTGAAGACCTCCTGGGTGCAGGGACTACGGGATAGGGCTTCAACCAGGGTAACAGTGGGCAGCCCAGGAGACCCAGAGAAACAAACCTATCAAACAGGGCTTGAAGAATGGAGCTGGTCCCAGGGCCTTCCAGCTGAGAGGTCTACCACACCCTGAGGATCCTTCACCCTGACTTAACTCCTGTGGTCCCTCTTTTGTCCTTTCAGTGTCTGACTGAAGCCCTGGACATTAAGGTCCCAAATTCTAAGTTTCTTTCCAATTTCTCAGCTACTCAACTGCCGTGACACCAAGAGTCCCCAGCCTGGGACACTAGTTGTGTATCCAGAGACTGGGAGGGGACCCAAGTCAGAGCCCCCCAGTGTTTTCCAAGACTGGGGCATTTGGGCCTACAGCCTTGGTCTCAACACTGCCCTCCTAACACAACTGCCCATGGTCACTATAACCTTGGCACTGAGGCCTAAACTGACCCATCTTCTTGCCCAGGACAGCATTCACCTCTGTTAGATGGGGCCAAGTATCCATCTGTCCAGTGGCTGATGAAGAATCAGTGAGGGTTTTGTTACCACCAACAACTGCAATTCAGAGCTCAGGCCAACAGAAAGGAAATTCATTTCCCTAGTAGTGGCACCTTTGCCTTGAGCAAGGAGTTGGGAAGGGGAGGGAAGGTGGGGGAGGATGAGGCTCAGCAATGCCTCTTTCCTGAGACCCACCTCCATCCAAGGAGCCCCTCCTTTTGCTAGGGCAGGTCCAGCAGAGATACTCAAAGCAAGTCTTGGGGCACTTGTTCCTTGATGAATGGATGAGCTCAGGATTGCTGGGGTAGGGGTGAGACTCGCCCAGTGTTTCTAAGCTGTTAGGAAAACCAGAGTCCTGTGCCAGGGGTTCCTGTATTCTGGACAAACCAGCCACAGTCTCAGCTTCTGATGGGGGACGCTGAGTTTAGACAGGAGGGGACCCTGCCCAGGCCACCCATCCCAAGGTGGGCTTGTTGCCCTCACCCTGGGTCTCCCATCCCTGGGTATTTGCAGAGACTAAATGAGGTTGGCAGGGGGCATGTGGACATGGGGACAGGATCCTGCTCACGATGATGGCTCAAACTATGAGCTCTCAAGCGTCATGGAGATCTGCTCCAGGCTCCTCCGTGAATAAGGTACAGGGAAGACCATTAGGAGTGGGTTTTCCCTGGCAATCTTTGGAGCTCAATTGCTGGGGACTCTGAGTAGGTCATGGGCTCCCTCTGTTGGTAATAGCGGAATTGCAGCCTCAGATAGCGGGGTTCCAAGTTGTTTCAGTAAGGCACCAATCACTTCTCAGACTTAGTTTGTAATTTGTGATTCCATACAGCTTTAAATTGTGGAAAATGAAAGTTCAGTACCTCGAAGGTCATGTGACCTTCCTGAAGAGGAAATGTACCTAGGAGTCTTGGATGGGCAGCAAGTCACAGATTCAGAATGTCCCCTGGAGCTCTAAAGTGTCACTCAGGAACTCACTTGGCTTCAGCCTGGGTGAGGCTGGTGGAGGGTACGTGGGCATGGGGACAGGATGACAGGCTTACCAGATAATTTCATGCCTGTGCTGGCCGAGTGCCCAGTTCTCCCTGTCCAAAAATGACAAATGTCTGTGTCCTAAAGATCAAACAAAGACCCCCAGACCCACTTCCGATGGGCCAATCTGGTTGCTTAGAGGACAAAAGGGGAGACCTTATGGTAGGCTGAGGGAGAAGTGACTCACCCAAGACCATTTCCCTCCTGAATAGCTACAATTCCCTCTCAATAATGTAGACTCCATAGGCTGGTGAATAGAACATTCTAGAAACTTGACTCCTTTCCACTGCTCCCATTTCTCCCTGGTGAACCACAGGCCTGAAATACCTCTTCCTATTTGCTTTGCAGTTGCATCCAAAAACCTTAGGAAGCCCACTCCTCTCCCACCCCAACTCTGACCAGGCCCGCTCCATTCCTATTCTTCTGTCCTATAGAGGGCGCTCAAGTGCCATCTCCTATGTGGTAATACTGTGTTCTTAAGGGTGTGATGTCACATTTTGTCAGCAGTGTGATGCTGAGCTGAGTAGCCACCCTTTCTCCTGGGGGGAGAGGAGGCGTTCCTGAATTCTTCCGCAGTCCTGCCCTCCCACCAACAAGCTTCTGGGCTTCTCTCCTCTCTTTGTCCTCCCAACCAACAAGCAGGCAGTCGAGGCCCACTGCCAACCTGGGTATCACTTTGGATAAGTCACCTCCTCTCTTGGGGGGCCTCAATATCTCCTTCTGTACAATGAAAATGCTCTATTTTTCTCTCAAGTAAGGCTGCCTGTGATTCTCTGTTGGTGGGTGGTCTTTAGAGCCTGAGGACAGTGGGTTAGGACAAAGGACTTAAGTGCCAGATGAAAGGGCAGCCACGCTGCCTGTGTGGTCCATCCAAAGACAGCCTGCTCTGGACAAACTCCATCAACCTGTTCACCAGTTCACCTCCATGGAATGGATGCTCTGAGATGCAGATAAGGAAACCAGCACCCAGGTGGCTCCACTATCTTGCCATCCCTTCAGCATCTTTAGAGGCTTCATGGGAAGGGAGGGAGAGGGAGCTGGGCTCCATCCTGTGTGTAGGAATATCCAGAGTGGAGTGTTCAGTGAGCTTGGGGCCAGAGTAGCCTGATACCATCTCTGACTGAGACTGTCCTTTGTGGGTCTCTGTCCAGATGGAAGGGACTGGAACATGGTAACAGTGGACTCACCCTCACTGTCCACTTTTGGCTCTGAAATAGACCAAATAGATATGTAGGAATGGATCCAGCTGGAGTGCCTTGAATGTGACTTGATGAGGTATGGGCTGAGAGTGTGAGTTAAAGCCCCACAGATTTATCTACCCTGGCCAGTGGTTCATGTGGGGGAACTGAAGGGACTGGAACATGGTAACAGTGGACTCACCCTCACTGTCCACTTTTGGCTCTGAAATAGACCAAATAGATATGTAGGAATGGATCCAGCTGGAGTGCCTTGAATGTGACTTGATGAGGTATGGGCTGAGAGTGTGAGTTAAAAGCCCCACAGATTTATCTACCCTGGCCAGTGGTTCATGTGGGGGAACTACAGAGCCTACTTATGTGACTACAGACAACTACTATGTGGGTATCTCTGAAGCATCCCGGAAGCAAGCTCCCCAGGGGAGCTTCTAACTTCTAAGAGCAGCAGTTCCCCCAGTAGAAGCCTTAGCAGAACCCCACAGACCCAACCACCTTGAACCTGGACCTTCAGACTTCCACAGGGCATCCAGAAACCAAGACAATTATGAGTTCAGGGGTAAGTGAAGAGCGGCCTTCAGACGACCACACTGAGCTTGCTTTTATAGGCAGATACACAATTCACTGAAACCCAGTTAGACCAGGCTGTACTGCACTCCACCTTGCAGTAGGAAGTGGGACATTACAGCATTTGGGGAGGACAAGGAGGGAGTCCGGGCACAGGAGGCAAGAGCAGATGCCCATAAGGGGGTAACAGTGAGCCTGGCGCTTCCTTCAGCCTGAGTGCTGACCACGATGAGGCAGAGGTCTACAGTTGGGGAAGATGGGCATCCTTGGAGCTCTGGAAAGACAGAGGTGGGGTTAGGGCTAGGAGGGAGGCCTCTGGTGATGGGAGTTTTGTGTCTGCCCCTCTTATTCTTAGAGACCCCTCTGTGGCACCCCTCTTCACACACCCTGCTCCAGGCACTCAAGCCTCACTTTAAAACACTGAGAGGACAAGCCATCTTCCCAAATCCCTCCCAGCATGTTGGCCTGCTGTTTGCATGCATGCTCCACCAACCAGCAAAGGGAACTTACCTGCTGTCACAGCTCATCTTCATTGACGTGCCTGGGAGGGGATGAATGAAGATAGCAAGAAGTCAATGAAAGGGGAAAGTCTGTGGCCCCCAGGTGGCCTCCCCACCTCAGAGAAAACTCCCTGCCTCCTCTCCTGCCCCAGCCACCTTATCAGCTCCCCCACAGCACTCACCGGTGCTTCTTACTGCCTCCACAGCGGAATCTTTTGCCTTGAAAAGAGAAAAGATTTGTTGTCATTTTCCAAGGAGACTCTGGAAGACTCAGTTCTGCCAGTCTTCCTTGCTTCCCTCCTTCTTTCCTGCTAGCATAACCACAGTGTGGGGAGGCCACATTTGACTGTCTCTGTTTATATAGGGATGGACCACCAATTCAATTAGTCAATCAACAAACATTCAGGGTGGCAGATACGTGGTGCACTTCGAATGTGCTGAGAGTGGCAGCCTGAACCCAGATTCATGGTGCTACCAGCACAGTGTTGGGTACAGGGCAGTTGCTTAATACACACTTGGAGAAGAGCAGGCCAAGTCCAAAGCTGAGGTCCCCACCCAGGCTCATCTGCCTCCCACACCGGTGTGCTCAACATCTATGAGGCAGACTGGGAAGAGCAACCTTCAGATGAAGTGGCATGAACCACAGGGGTGAGGAAATTCCATAACACAGAGGCCTGTTTGCTCCCCCAAGTGTGTTCATGACTGTGATTCTGGTATTTTTCTTTCAGTTGCACCAAAACAAGTCAACAAATATCTATTAAGTACCTGTCGTATGCCTGCTGGGACTGAAAGACATATAAGAATGTTTCTAGAATATTCCATGGCTATCCCAGATTCTTCCAAAAGTATTTTTCCATGGCTGTCTTTGGATGCTAGCCCTAATCTTGTGAGGCAGGTGGAACCATCCTAATTTAACAACGAACAAACTAAGCACTTGAAAAGTTTGGATAAGTCACCATTAGGCTCCAGGGTCTGGCTCCAAGCCTTGCAGGTTTCTAGCAGGGGTTGGAGGGCATCAGTTAACACCCAGGGCCAGCTGGGCTGCCATGCCTTTTAACTGCATCCAATTTTCCATCTCAAACGCTGACAATGAGGACAAAGGTAATGTCCCTCAGTGGTCCTGAAGGTTACCAAAGTGGCTAGGGTGTAGCTCATGCCTCCAGTGTCCAGATGTGGCAGTGCCTGCTCCCCTGGTCTGGCCATCCTATTTCCCTTCCAATTTCCCAGCCAGAAAAAGACCTGTGCAAACCCAAGTCAGACAAAATCCCAGCATGGGGGGGGAGGTGGGCTCAAAGCCTCAGCCCTAGATGAGGATCTATAGGCAACTGAGAGCTGCTGGGAGAGGAAGAATCAGTTTTCATTAAGGGTATGATCCTGGGTAGGCAGACCATGCTCCAGGGGATGGACCCATACCTTAAGACCTTAAGAGTATTTGGGCAACACAAATTAGACTTGATATACCCTAAAAAAATAACAGAGGACATGAGGTGAAGAGGGGTAGGGAAGTAGGGATGGATCTGAGAGGAGATGGGCAAGGAGGGTTGAATATGATTGTAGTAGTTTGAATGAGAATGTCTCCCAAGAATTTGAACACTTGGCCCCCAGCTGGTGATGCTGTTTTTGGAAGTTTAGGAGGTACAGCCTTGCTAGAGGAAGCATGGCACTGGGGGTGAGCTTTGAGATGTCATAACCACTTCCTATTTCCAGTTTCTCTCTATTTGAAGATGTGAGCTCTCGGCTTTCTTCTCCAGCTGCCTCCTGCCATGCTTACCCACCATGATGAACTCTCATCCCTCTGAGCTGTAAACTCAATAAACCCTTCTGTCTACAAATAAATTTTCTTGGTCATGGTGCTTTATCACAGCAACAGAGTCACAACTAACATAATGACCAAAACACATTGTGTGGAATTCTCAAAGAAGCACTAAAATATTTAAAGAAAAAAAGAAAAAAAAAATAGCCAGTCTTCCCTCTCAGATGCCTCTCCCAAGGCCACTACAGGTATCCTGGAGGAAAAGGGAACCTGGCGTCCCTCAGGCATCCTTCCTGAATCCTTCCCTTGCTGAAGTATGAGTGGTGACTAGGCCTCCCTCTCCAGCTCATAGCTATCCCCTCCCAGCCGCCCCCTCCCAGCACACAGATGTCTCCACTTACTGAGAAGGATGAGGAGGCCCACGACAAAGGCCAGGCCTGCGAAGATCAGGCCCCCTTTGCGGACAGTCTCGTAGTCTTGGGAGAGAGAAGGCAAGAGATGATGGTGTGGGCATGGCCCCTAGCAGACCTCCCAAGTTCACCCAGCCAACCTCATGATTTGGGGCACATATAACAGGGACCAAAGCCTGGGAGAGGCCAGAGCCAGGTGATGGGAGTGTGCTGGGGGAGGGCTGGCTTACCATAGTAGAAGGGATCCACTGCATCCTCGGGGCTGCCACCTAGGAGAGAGCCAGGGGTGGGATGAGCAGGATGTCACAAACCCAGAGCACTGGAAATCCAGACCCTCTTTTCAGACAGTCCCCATGGCCCAAATGGGGATGGGAAGGCTGTGTAAGAGTGACCTGGGAAGAGGAGGTCAATAAGGGCATCCATCTCAAGGCCACCTCACACACGCATCTTGAGGCATCTGAACTGGGTATCCATGCTACTTGTGGGGCCCCTTACAGACTTGGGAGGATGTGGATCTCCTCAATTCCCTGCTTTGATAGGCCAAGAAGCCCACCCTGGGTGGTCTGCCAGTGGCCTCTCTCAATGCCCCTACCTCAAGGTATCAGAGAAGTCTGTGAAGTAAATGAATGAGCAAAACAGAGCCTTTGGGTTCAAGGAACAAGGAGGAGAGAACTGAGGATTGGTTGGAGTCTTCGTAAAAACCCAGTGGAAATTGAAGGCAGAATCAGGACTTGACTCATTCCTAGAGTGCTCTCCTACATCACTGTCCTCAGGCCAAACTTAATTAGAGAGGAATACACAGTGTTTGTCCTTGCCAGGCAAAAGCTAACAGAACCTCAGCTCATACACCCTGGGAGATGCTGTTCTTAGTCCTGTATAACCAACAAGAAGACTGAGGCACAGCTAGAGGGTAACTGAGCCATGCCCGAGCCATGCAGCAAGTAAGGGGCAGAGCTAGGATTTGAACCCAGGCAGAAGGTCACTGTGAGTCTGAGTGCTAGGCTCCCTTTTAGGTGGCAGGCAGGGAAAAGACATTTTCAGTCCAAGCTGCCCTTGTGACTTTCCCCATATATTCTGTCCTCCAGCCATGAGCCCAGAACACTTGCCCCTGGGTGGTTGAAGCATGGAAAACACATTAGGAGGCTGGGCTGACCAGCAGAGCTGCAGTCACCTACCCCCCATACACACACACACACACACACACACACACACACACACACATACACCCTCTTGGCACCAGGGCAGCAGTGTCCTGCTCAAAGGAACATACAAAGTCAGCAACTCTTAGGGTATGCTGAACTGTGGCCCCATAGTGAATGTTCACAGGGCTTGGTGAATCTAGCTGTTCCGGGTGGCCAGAAGGGAACAGTGCCTAGTGGACCTCAGACATGAGTTGCTCAGGAAGGCCAGAAGCTAAGGAGAGGTGCCTGGGACCCAGGCTCTGTCCCCATGCAGAAGGCCTTCAAAGTTGTTTTCCTAGCCTCTGTTTTGTTCAAGATCATATACAGAGTTAGTGTCAGAGACAAGTTGGGATTCCCCTTCCCTCCCAGAAGCCATTTGATGAACTACTCTCCTATCAATGCTCTGATTAGAACCTATCATGGTGGTGGGGTCAGCAGGGGCCTTTTGGGTTCCAAGCCTGAGTCAGTGGGTCTTGAACCCAGAAGGCTCTCATCCCTAAGCCGGCTGGGAGGGCCAACTACCATCCCCTCAACCCCAGCAAGCCCTGATCACTTTGTGATCTGAGTTCCCCAACCAAGACTAGGAAGTCATACTGGGCAGGACACAGTGGCTTACAATGGTTGGGAGGCTGAGGCAAGAGGATTTCATTGAATTTTAGGTCAATCTGGGCTATATACTGTGGTTCAGGCCAGCCAGGGCTACAGAACAAGACCCTGCCTCAAAAACAAAATCACACAATCCCCACAAGCCTCTGTAACCCCAAGTTCTGCCTCTCAGCTACTTTTTTTGTGGGTTCTTTTTCCAAATGCAAATTTTCTTATAGAGGAAGCTGGTTGGGAACCGCAAGGCAGGGAAGGCAGGAGAGGGAAAAGTGGGGTCTAACTGTCCCCCCAAATGCAGTCCAGGCAAGCCAGTCAGCTTTACCAGCGATACTCACCACCGAGAGTCAATGGCCCAGCCATTTCCCCAGCCACCAGGGCGTCTCCACAATCCTCTTCCTGTCTCCTCTAATTCGGGGACAGTGTCTGCCTCAGGGTGGCCGGGGCTGAGGGTGGGGGCATTAAACATTAACAGTGCCAGGTAATATTTACCCTGGTCACAAGAAAAGCCCGAGTGTGTAGAGAGGGGCTCCCGCTGAGCCAGGCAAAAGGTGGTGTTGGGGGAGCCCAGGCAGGGAGGAGCTGACTGCTGTTTCTAGCCCCTCCCAGAGGAAATTTCCAGAGAGCAGGGCTGGGATGGGCAGCAGCAGTATTCTTCCACACAGCGGGGCAGTGGGATAGGGAAGTGGACGTTTCAAGATGCACTCAGTGTGAGCAGCACACAAGAGCCTTGGGATAGGTCAGGGTCCCCAGGGTCCTTTAGCCCTGCAGTGCTGCCTGGTAGCCCCTATAGAAACCACTCTGGCAGCTAATATTCTCATGGAGGACTCAGGGCTCCCTGAGGGGTTCCTAAGGAGCCTGGCCTGATTCCCGTCCCACCCCACTGCAGCCCTCTGAGGACCCCCTGGGTCAATAGGTAATACCAGCCGCCATGACTATGTTTCCCCTGAGAGCCTTGTTTTCTAATTCATCCTGATCTCGAGGTCATATGTAGCTACTCACGCCTCAGTCTGAAATGCTCCATTATCCCCAACTAATGTCTTACTCTAATGTCCAGCACTCCCTCCCATGGCTGTCCACCATGCACTTAAGACTTTCAGGAAGGGGCCCTGGCTTTGCTCTTATGGCTTACAAAGCACTTTCCTAGCTGGTAAATCCTTTGTGCATTAGTTCCCCATTTGACTTGTGAGACATCGGAAGCAAAGACAAGTTAAGGCCTTGCCCAAGGTCACACAGCCAGTCAAAGGCAAGGGAAAGGTTGGCAGCTGTGCCTTCGGATTCAGGGCTCAGGTGCTTTCCCCACACCTCTGGGACTGTCCCCACTCCACTGTGACCTTCCCCTCAGGGACTCTGGTGCAGGTGTTCTGTGAGTACTATACAGTTATTTTTGAGTTCCCCACAGTAGAATTGGCCTTGAAGAGGCTGATGTTCAACAATAGTCAAAGGACCAGGCAGTGGTCAGCATCCCCCAGGCACAGTTCAGTCAAAAGGGAAGGGATCCATCTGCAAGTTCACCTCAATGCATGGCAAGGGACCAACATCTGCATAACTACACTGGCTCTATCATGTGGCCTTTGTCAGTCTGTTTACCTCCTCATGCCTCAGTCTCCTCATCTGCATCATGGGCATAACACCCAGGACTTAGGGCAGTTGTGAGGACTGAGATATGTATATCAGAATATGGCCGGGTGCCTGGCACACTGGGTGCCACTGTTTCTTCCTTGATTGAGGAATAACTCATTAGTCTTTTGTTTAATAGTAGCCATGAGAAAAGTCAACCACTCTCTGCTAAAAACCAGCCAGAATGGGTGAGAAGAGAGACAAGAACTTGGCACCCACACAGCTCTGCTGTGCTTTCAGAGCCAAACGACATGTGTTTGTGAAAATGGACAACAGTGCAATCAAATGAGAAGCAGGAACCACATGCCAGGCTTTTGGCACTCACAGTCCCCATTTAATTTCTGGTAGCTCCATTTGACAGATGAAGAAACTGACGCTGAACATAACCTTCTCCTAACCATCCCTAGAGGGCTTGTATCATGAGGGCGGTGTGTGTGTGTGTGTGTGTGTGTGTGTGTGTGTGTGTGTAGATGCACCTGAAACCAGCAAGGCAGAGTCAGCCGGGACACCCAGATTCCTAGAATAGCTGCTGCTCTTCACACAGGACAGCGGTGCCCCCACCCCCTCTTGTTACCTTAGTGACTTTATAAGCTCCTATGGTTTCTTTCTGGAGTAAAGGATGAAAAATTGGTGGAAAGATAGAAAGACGTATGACAGACAGAAAGACAGACAGATATCTAGATAGACAAATAGATACATAGAGGATAGATGATGGATAGGTAAATAGATAGAAATAGGTAGATAGATGGTAGATTGATATATAGATAAGAGGTAGATAGATACACAGAAGATAGATGCAGAGATGGTGAATTATAGATGATTTAAAGATACATACCAACAAATATAAATAGAGGCTAGATAGATTATTGATAAATAGGTGCAAAGTAGATAGATAATAGATAAAAAGATGATTGGTGGATAGGTGATAAATAAGTGACAGACTGATAGAAAACTAGATAAGTAAATAGGTAGATGACGGATAAAAAGATGATGGATGGATAGATGACAGATAGATGACAGACTGATGGATAGATGATAGAAAAAGAGATAAGTAAATAGATGATAGACAGCTAGGTAGACAGACAGATGAACAGATGCCTGGATGGGCAGATAGGCAGGTAGGTAGACAGGTAGACCAAGCCATAGGGAAAGCAAGCTGACAATTGCTTTTTGGGAGCTGTGCAAGTCACTGTTCCAAGCCCTTGATGGAAACTAACTTCTCCACTGCTGCGTGGTTCTGCAGGAGAAGGAAAGGGTTAGCATCACTCTATCTTTGCTGGCAGAAGCTGAGGCACAGAGCAACATAACCTTCCAGAGGGCAGACAGCCAGCAAGCGTGGGGACCGAGACTTGACTCAGTAGTCTGAAGCCAGATCAAATGGACTAGATGAGGAGGATGATAGAGAAGCAATTTCTCCAGCATCTGGCTCATCACAGCGGGCCCAGAACTTGGTATTGAGCCATCCGTGTTGGCATAGTCTGCCTCTCCTGTTTCTGCTTCTCCAACACTTCTGGGGAGCCAGTAGGTATATTTAAAATTAATAGGTAGCCCCATGTTTCAGAGTTGGAGAGGGCATGGAGGAATAGGCTTGGGGAACTCACCCAGGTACCACCTGTCCATGGCAGAAGTTGCTGGCCGTGCAAATCAGGGAGTGCCTGCTGTTGCGTGGGCCGGGATGAGCAGAGTGGTGCTCCCTCCCTCCACACTGGAAGGGCAGATCTGGGACAGGAAGAATCAGGTTGAAGGAGGGGCTGGAGAGGGAGCCGCTACCCTGTGCCTGCCTGCCTGGGCTGGTTGGGGAAAGGGACCCATGTGAGGGTGGGGGAAGAGTCTCTGACCTCCACTGGCACCTGAGGAGGGAATAGCAAGAACAGTAGAGGAAACCACATGCCTTCCTTTCTCCCCAAGGACCTTGAGGATGTTCAAGAAGGTTGCTAGTGGGCACAAGCCATGGCAGGAGCTGACAGGAGCAGAGTGACCCTCTTCCTGGGCCTCAGACCAGCAACTGAGGGAGACACTAAAGAGAAGTGGGTCCCCAGTCTTCACCCAGGAGTCATGTCTTCATCCTCCTGCCTAGTGGTCCCTACTCTGATGTCTCCAGCCCCTGGGCCCATTTTTTCAGCCAGGACTCCTGTGAGACTGCACAGGAAGCTTCCCTGGGTACAGTGAGGACTTTCTCCAGCTGACCCTGGGGCTTAGGGCCGAGCAGTCTTCTGTGCCATACTGCTAGCTGGGCAGAGGTGGGCAATGGTTGGAACCACAACTGACCTGAATGTTCTCCTGTGGCAGCCTGCAGTTCCTCCCCTAGAGCTCTTCGCTCAGCCCTGGGGACTTGCCCCAGCTGTGACACACACCTGGATGCACCCATGGGGGCTCAACAGGAGTTCCAGCACTGGCACCTAATGAGGCCCTCCAAGGCTGCAGGTCAATGTCAGGGGAGCAACTGAAGGCAGCATATCTTCAGGTCCCCCAGGCAGGGATGGCAACAGGGGCTGACGGGAACAGCAGGACAGTCACCACTAGCTTCTGGAGTCCTTTTGTCCTGGTCACTGTGATAGACCCAAAGCAAAGCCACCACAGGAAAGTCTCTGTCAACTGACTCGGGCTGAACCACAAGGTCTGCCCCATGCTTCCAAGGCCATCCTGGTGTGGCCATCCCACAGGAATACCAGCAGAGCATCGATGATGCTGAGTCTGGTCACTCTGACGGCTGGCCTCACTGTCCCTCCCTAGCCAGGTTCCCTACTCAAAGAGAAGGACTAACAACACCCCCAGGGAGCTGCTGGGCTGGAAGCATTCTGAAATAGAGGCCTGACTACCAAGCTGGGGTCTCTGGTGGCTGAGGTCTGTCCTGGGGTGCAGAGCTGGCAGCCTTGATTCAGGCTCCTGGTGTCCCTCCTAGCCACCTCTGAGGTGAAGGGCAGATCCACCCAGTGACCCTGTCACATGTTCCCAAGTGGAAATCCAAACCTTCAGAAAGCTCAGAGCTGCTGAGTGGAAATTCCCCAAGAAGAACCAACCTGGAGAAGTTCAGACAGCCCAGGGCAAGATGGGACTTCACATTTAACAGTGGTCTAGGGAAATGTAGACCTTAGCTGGACCTTCCTGTCCTCCCAAGCCCACTCTGCATTCGTTCCCAGTCTCAGTGCTGTGAAGAAAGGCACTTTCTTAACAGACACCCTGAATTCCTAGCTCCTCGCTTACAAAACCATTCACTTTCCTGCCCCAGATCCCAGCACACTCAGAGTGTACGCCCAAGTCCCATCCATGTCCCTTCTTAATCTCATCCTGGTGCCTTCTCTGACCTTGTCCCCCTGCTCATCTGTCCATTCCTGCCATTCTGTCCCGTTGCTTGTTCTCTGACTTTCCAGGGCTCATTCCTGCCTCAGGACCTTTGCACAGGCAAATACCTCTGTGAATACTGAGTTCCCACCCGAACCTGCACTATCCTTACGTATTTCCCCATGGGCTTTACTCAGGAGATCCTCCTGGGTATCCTTTCTAAACTTTTCACAACGCCCCTGCAACCCTTCAACTCCCTGCCCAGCTTTCTTTTTTCTCTATATCTCACATGTCTAACAAGTTCCACATTTTCCTTATTGTGTCTGTCTTCTTTCAACTAGATTATAAGGACCACAAAGGCAAGACTCTGGTAATTCATTCAATCTGGATCCTTGGGGCCTGGATGGCACACGGGGAACTCTCCATCTTGGTAAAGGAATGAATCGATCCCAGAGAGGTGGAAGCATTTTGCTAGTGACACAGCCAGCCTCCAAGCTTGTGTAAGGCAGTCCTCTTTCTGGTCTGCCACCTGTGTGCGACGGGTAACTGAGCATAGTTTACTTAAGAGGTTGCTAGCACTCAGTACCCTCATCTTGCCAATACCTCCCCCAGGGTTCTTCCAAGGGTTCCCTCACTCCTCTTGGACCCCATCCCTGTCCC